AAGATTTTATTTATTTGACAGAGAGAGACACCGCGAGAGAGGGAACACAAGCAGGGGGAGTGGAAGAGGGGGAAGCAGGCTCCCTGCTGAGCAGGGAGCCCGATGCGGGGCTCCATCCCAGGACCCTGAGCCGAAGGCAGACGCTTAACGACTGAGCCACCCAGGCGCCCCAAGAAGAGTATTCTTAATCATAGAATCCTGGAAGTCCACATAAACATAGAAATTAAAATTCTCATAGTTTGCTAATAATAAAGTATTAATGTGTTATATCAGAGTGACTAAGGAAGCAAACATGACTAAACACAAAGTTTTTTTTTTTAATTTTTTTTTTAAATGAGCAATTCTTTTTTTTTTTTTTTAAGATTTTATTTATTTGCGAGAGAGAGAATGAGAGACAGTATGAGAGGGAGGAGGGTCAGAGGGAGGAGCAGACTCCCTGCTGAGCAGGGAGCCGGATGTGGGACTAGATCCCGGGACTCCAGGATCATGACCTGAGGTGAAGGCAGTCGCTTAACCAACTGAGCCACCCAGGCGCCCAACACAAAGTTATTTTTTACTTGACAATATTTTTTGGAAAAAACTAATTTAATGAAAAACTGCCAATACTGAATATTGGTTATAAGAGTTTGTTTCAGTTTTACATGTGGCTTATAAATTAGAAAATTATCGTTAATCTAGGCATTTTTAACTCAGTAACTATGTATATACAATTGCTTGCATGCTTTTCTTGCTTCAGGTATGCCCATCCTTCTCTGTTAAAAGCCATTTTTCTCCTCCTTCTCAAACTTGGCTAACTATTTTCTGAAGACTTAGTTCAAGCATCACCTACTCAAGGATTCTTCTCATCACTGAATTGGGTTAATTGTCCCTCTTCTCTACCTTGATAGCATCTCTTGTCCAGCATTTGACACATTGTTCTGTGATCGTTTGTTTTTCTCCCAAGACTGTAAGCTCCCCTAACACAGGTAGTACATCTTTCACTTATATATCTCCAGTGCTTAGCCCAATACTTGAAACATAGCAGATGCTCAGTTTTTCTTATCTAAGTTATATAATGAGAGAAGGTAAAGGAACCATTGTATAAACATTTAAAAAATTAATAATGCATTTATTAGATTTTGCTAATATACAGCCAGAAAGGCTGTATAATCATTAGTATATTTTTTACTTCATATGTCAGATAATAATGTTTATTCCTTGATTTAGGTGTTTACTGTTGGCAGAATTTGTGCTGATCGTACCCGAATTTATCATAAACTAAAACATTTTAAGTTCAAGCTGTACCAGGAATGTTGCTCCATTGCAAAGACAGAAGAAGTTGAAGATGAACAGGTTAAAGAAACAGTGGAAAGAATTTTCAGTCAGTCAAAAGAAAGTGGCTGGATTAAGGAGGTAAGGTGAATATAGAAGAATCATCTCATTCATAGATTCTGGAGCCTAATTATGATCAGCAGAAGGATACAAATGACTAGAGGACAGTGAAATTTAAAAGAGAATCTCTCCTTTTCCCCGTCTTTGTATTTTCTCTTCTTCCACCCATTCCTTTCATGCTTATCATTGTCCCACCCTGAATAGGTGCCCTGATGTTCTAAGCATTCCTTCAGCTCATCAGATAAATTGAAATCCTCAATAATACCGTCCTGTAATGAAGGACCTCTGTCCTTTCACTTTTATATATATGGTATTCCTTACATATATATTAAGTCCCTATTTTCTTTGACAAAGTATAGGACTCACCTCTGCTTGTCTGCTTCCTATTCTTTAGAACAGTTCTTGTGACCCGAGAGTGAAGAAGCACCTGGTACCAATCTGAGGAAAGGATCTCGGCTGCCAGTTCTAATACCCCCCACATCCTCTTCTTGAGGACATGGGCTGAGCAGTGAGCACTGTAACTGAAGATCAAGGGGAATGCAGAGGTTTCAGGCCACGGCACTGATTTTGATCCCCCCAAATCCTGTTGATCACTAAGTTTGATATCAGGGATAAAGTGGGGGTTTTGAAGAGTGCACTGGATTCCCGAAGATCTGCTGGCAGCTCATAAGCTCTGGTCTGCTCACAGAGCTTTTAGAATTGTTTATGGTACTTGGAAAGAATGCTAATATGATTGCAATCTTCTAAAACAAGTCTAGTTATGTGAATGTATGAGAGAAAACATAGTAGATTTTCAGGCAACTCAGATCAACAGTATATTTAATCTTTAAAAAAAAAAAAAAAAGCCTGACTTGAGATCTGTTGCCTAGGTTATTTATACCATAAGGAAATTTGTAAAAGAGGAAGATAAAAAAGAAGAGAGCTCAGTGAATAAACTTACAAGCAGAGGGAAAGAAAAAGAGAACAAACAACAGGAACTTGTCAGGACACGTCATGTCCCGCAGAGGTCTCCCAGTCTGGACAGTGACATCAGAACTGGTTTCCCTTCTGACAGTTCTCCTCTCACCACAAGCCCCCACCTGGTGATCTCTCTGCTTCCCCCACCGCCCCTCCATCTGGAACCTTCCGTAGTCTTTCTCTCATTTTACTCTCCTCAGCTTTTTATCTTTTACTTTGCTTCGACTTCTCTCCCAGTGCTTTCCTCCCTGTCCTCCTCTGTGCTTTTCTATTAGCCTTAGGGAGGAGCCATGACTTATCCAGTAAGTCCCATCTTCATTTTCCATGATGACATGAAATTCTTAGCTGCTTTTATGGGTGCATTTAAGGGTTGCCAACCCTCCAGTGGAGTTGAAAAGCCTATTGGGACACCATTTTTTAAAAAATTGTGTAGAAAAATCACTGCGCATGTACTATACATATTATGTAATAATAGTATAAATGGGGAAGAACGTTAAAAAAAAATTTTTTTTAAAGATTTTATTTATTTGACACAGAGAGAGAGAGCGAGAGAGGGGACACAAGCAGGGGGAGTGGGAGAGGGAGAAGCAGGCTTCCCACTGAGCAGAGAGCCTGATGTGGGGCTCGATTCCAGGACCCTGGGATCATGACCTGAGCCGAAGGCAGACGCTCAATGACTGAGCCACCCAGGCGCCCCAAGAACGTTAAACTCCTTGCAGAGAAAAACTAAAAGCACTTCCAGATCATGAACCTTAGAAAAAGCTTAACAGGGTTTCTAACAGAAGGGACCTGGAATAAGAAAAAATACTCTTAGGAAGAAAAAAGCCAAGTGTTCTATTATGCTTCAAGAACAACACTTAGTAGTGGACAGTTAAAGTAGTTCAAGATCATGCCAGTCTAGGACAGCATGCACCCTTTTTTCCACTTGCAATACCAAAGAGCTTCATTTTCTTTTTGGGATCCCTCCTGTTTTAAAAATATTTATCTATAAATTTTCTCAAAAGACGTCCTAGAAACTAAAGTTTAGAGCCACTGTAAACCCATATGCAGCTTTCTGTGCTGTGATTAAACTTCAGAATTTATCAAGTGCTCTGACATTTCTCAGCGTCACTCCACCTACCCCTCAGAGAATGTGAGTGTCCTTGTGTGACAGCCTTGCATGTGCTTGTGACGCACACCTTCTTCCTTGGTTGCAGGCTCATGGCCATAGCTACCCTAACCCTTCTGAATGCCAGGGCTCAATGCTGCTTGAGTTGCCCTATCTGTGGCCCTTTTTGCTCTTACTTCCTAATTATTATGTCAACCCCTTCTTTTACCTCACACAAACTATCTGGTCCTGGCTTTCCTCCCAGCTTGTATTACACACCTTGCTTTTTCCCTTACCTGCCCCTTCCTCCTCCAAGCGTTTTTCTTCCCTTGTCTCAGGATATCTCAGCGTGTCTTCCCAAAGACCTGCCAACTAGACTGACTTCATTCTTCTTGTTCCTCCTCCTAACAATCGAGCTAGGATGATCTGTTTTTAACCTAGGATGACATTAAAGGGTAGGAGCTACTTGAGTGTAAGAAAGGAATGAATGATAAGAAAATTATAATAAAACCAAAACCTATAATAAATATAATAAAAGTAATTGTCTCATTCTAAATTTGACTGGAAGAACATACTATCATATGCCACTGGCTAAATTCTAATGAATGTTTCTTGTTAAGAAGAAAGTGAATGTGATGATGGGATTTCCAGAGAAGCTGAAGATAGGGTTGTTGGGATGGGGTGGTGAATACATGAACATCAGGAAGTGAAGAAAGTACGTCAAAAGTATCAAGTCTCAGTTTTACAGTTGTATGTAAATTTTAAATGTATTACATAAAGATTGTTACATAAGAAAGAATTTTAAATAATGATTTGATATCCCACCCCTTTCCTGAAACTTTTTATGTGGTGTCTTTTTCTTTCTCCCCTTTAAAACTTTTTTTTCTTTTAATTTTTCTTTCGCTCCTTAAACTGATGTTTCTCAAATCATGGCCCTAACTACCTATGCCAGACTCACCTAGAAGTTTGTGGAAAATGTGTAGTTCCTGGCCTCACTGCAGACCTATTGAATGAGAATCCTTGGGGGTGTTAAACACCCAATATTTAACAAATCAGGTGATTCTTAAGCAAATTAAACAATGAGGGCCCTGCTTAAAGGTGCATGTCACTCTAGGTTCCGTTCTCAGCCTCCTTATAGCTCTCTGCCTCGGTAAACCTATTCCTTTCTTCATGTCTAACTGCTCTTTTTCTGAGCAGAAGACTCCAAACTCCTCCTTTTATGTTCTGACCTCTTTCTCACACTCCCTTTCCACAGTTCCACCTGTTTTAATCAGTAGGTCCATCCTGGCACTTGAAGGGGTTAACATAATAAGATCCAAACTCTCCAGATTTTTAGGAAAAAAGAATGATGGAACCAGAATCTTTAAATGGATTGAATGACCAGGAATTACAAACTGCCTTCTCTCTGAGTTTCACTTTTCCTTTGGAGGGCTTTTTTTTTTTCTTCTTACTAAAGCTGCACCCTGCCTGGTCCCTCCCAACTTTAAGTCTTAGAAATAGCATACTATGATGGTTAAAAGCACGGATTTAAATATTTTCTAGCAGTAGAATCTGGAGGCAAGTTACTTTATTTCTCTAAGTTGTCTCTTCAGTAAAATAGGAATTAAAACAATAATAATAGAGTTTTGATTGTGGAAATTAAATGATCAACACATTTTAAGCATTTAGTATTGGACCTAGCAATTAGTAAGTGATCAATTAATGTTAACTATTATTAGTAATAAAAGCAAGGAGAGATTTCCCTTACTTTTCTTAGTATAGCTGGGACAGATTATAATTTTCCAGAAAAAATTTAATAAGAGAAAAAAGAATATAAAGAAAGATAATATAAAAAGCATAAAAACTATCAAACTTTTAAGGTATAGGTTTTTAATTCTAGAGTACTTTACTTCTGTCTTGTAGAACCTAAGTAGTCGGTCAAAAGAATCCCTAGGTAGTTCAAAGGTTATTTCCCCTCCTGTTCTTTTCTTCATTCTTTCCAGAGAAGGTGATCCAGTCACAGATCTTTGAGGGGACAAAAGTTTCATGGCCCTGTCTAGAAGGAAAACACATTCCTCCTATGCTTTTCCATAGGTTCCTATCATCACCAAAGTCAGGGTCATCAGGATCCTCTCTTCCTTTACTAGGAGTGGAACCAGAGTTCATAAGTAAAGAAATCATTAGGTCAGTTAATCTCCTCAACTGAAGTCAGCAGTTGAGTTTCCAAATCACAGTTTCCAAATCATCTGTGAAATTTCCAAATCATCCTGACTCCTCTCTTATCTTGTCCTACCCTGGTCTTGACTCTTCATCTTCATTGGCTGTCACTCGAATTTGGGATCTCATTACCTAACTTATTACAATAGATTCATAACTAAATGCCAAAATATTCTAGAATGGATGTTTTACCATTTTTCTTAAAATACACCCCAGATCATGTCAGTCTCTGCCTTAACACTTTAACAATTTCACATTGCCTGTCACATTATTGCTAAACTCCTTCATCTAGCATTTCATACTTTGACCACAGCCTCTTTGGTTCAGTCTCCTTTCTCTCTATTCCCCTAAACAAACCTCAAATTGTAGTCAAACCTCATACTTTCTTGCCTTTTCACTGTTGTATGGACTGTTGCCCGCCCCCCCGCCCCCGCCAAATCTTTGCCAACCAAATCCTTTCTCCCATGACAGTTTAAGTGCTTCTCTTCTTTTCTGATCACCTCAACTAACCATGGCTACTCTCCTGAACCTTCATACAGTGTCTATATAGTTCTTTATGGCACTTGTTATTGCTGTATTACCACTGAACTCTGGTCTTCTAGGGACAGGGAAAGCAATTTTTTTTGTACCTAGACAGTCATTAGAAAGTATTCAATATATGTTATGTGTTCAACAAATTTTTGTTGAATAAGTTATTGAAGCTGTTATACTTCCACAAATATAATAGAAAAATTACAGTTTATAAGAACATTATGAGATTAATAATAATGTTCAGTTTGATCTCTTTCCAATACTTTATGGGTTAGAAATGCTTATTTGAAATTGTATCCCTGTTTATAAGAATTTTGTTCATGATTATCCTGAAATGAGAAGTGAACGTGTTCCTGTTTGTGTCTCTAGATTGAAAAGGCCTACCTTATCTTCTTTGCTTTGAGTAAAATAACTAGCTTTTTTATTGTATACACAGAAATATGGTCAACTTCAAGAATATCTAAATTGGGCGGATTACTTTCAAGATGAGAAGTTTGACTGAATTGTAACACATTTCCTTCAGAGAAGATTTTATAAATTCCTGTAAATGTGAAGATCATGAGTCTTGTTTCTCTGTATCATGTGACATATTTAGATATTTTGTGTGTATTTTCATGGCAAATATCTTGTTTAAAACATATGTTCATCTTAATTTCCATGAAATGGCACTCTACAGTCAAATAAAAGTTTTATCTGCTGTACATAGAAAACAGAAGTCTAATAATTTTTAAGTAAGAGTATTTTAAAGTTATAAAACAATGCCTTTATAACAGATGATTATCAAGCAAATGAGCTGTTCGTGTCCTGTCAGCTTAATAGACAAATACTGTATTTTAAAAATGAATTCAGACTAATATCTATGTGTATTTATTATTGAATCCCTGCCCAGATGTGTTTATTATCTTTTCACAGTATTAAATGATCTGCACTGATATAGTCTTTGCTACTGTCCTTATTTAGATCAGTGGACCGTGGAAAAGACCGAATGTCTCATTCAGTTCAATCCCCTCATGTCAGAATCAGATTGTAGTTTACCCATTCTAAAGAGGAGAGCTTTTCTCCTTTTCTAAAGTTCCCTTTAGAAATAGATCTCAGGCCTCCAGAGTCTTTCAACCGTCACATTCAGGAATAATTTCGTGATATGTATTTTCATGCTTCACAATGTTCTTTCTATCTTTTATTCAATTTGTCTACATGTTAATGATTAAGATGTATTTTATTTATTTTTATCCAAAACCTTTCCCATATATATATTTATGTTAGGATCTGAAGACCTCAGAGAGACAAATTCAGCCAAAAATAGTTTAAAAGAATACTTTGGCATCTGCATTGCTTTGCACATCTAAATTTTCCCATAATATAATAAAGTGAAATGGTTTCATAGTGACCAAATGGACCCTGTCTATTCTGTATCTTTAATTCTTAAAGGTAGTGTCATAGTAGGATCTATTTTACGGTGCAATTTTAGATAATTGTTTCTCACCTCAAGTGTTGATTGAACCTGGCTTCAGTTATTATGCGGTTCATGCATGGAGTTCAGTGTATGTGCACACATAAAAAGCTACACTTTATTAAGTCCTTACATAGAGATTACTTAGTATTTTCATCAATTTTCTGAAATTATCCCTATTCTTATTGTAAGCAAAACGAGTGGAAAAAGCTCACAAAAGTGCTGAGAATACTGAGGCTGATGTTTCACGTGAGAAGTACATACCTTTTTGAAAAGTGTGAAATAGAAATTTCAGTCACATATCTCTATTCTTATTTCTCTGGCATATGGAAATAATCCTTAACTGAAATGAAGCCATAGTTGAAAGTTGAAGATGAAGTGACAGTGCCCAAAAAGAAGCAAGGCAGAATTGGAGGGAAAGTAATAGTCAAGTTGGAAGGGTGAAGGATCATGAATGACTTGTAAAAAGGAAGACCATGGAAAAGGAAAGCGAATGATTTGTAAAGGATCTCTAATGCCCCTGGAAGCATCACTTCTCATACATGCGTGACACTACAGACAAGCTTGAGAATGCTGAAGAGCGAGAGTTCCTTCCACCTGGAGTTTTTAAAATTAATTTATGTATTGTTTGAAATACCATGCATTTGATTTGTAAAAATTAAGGCACTAATGATTAGAGGGACTTAATGATGGCAGCTGACCCAGTTCCTAGGTCAGGCACCTTGTTGGCGTGAAGCATTTTTCCTGTTGGAACAGCATCCTGACTGTTGATCAGGAAATGTAAAAGTAGTTTTGCTGATGTCTGAGGTTACTGCAACCACGCAAACTTCTTCAGTAGGTTTTGAAGAATACAAGAGGCTTTTAGGCATACGGTAACACCAAAAGAATGGCAGAGAGACAGGCTGTTAGGAAATGAGAATGAGCATAGATTAGGGGGGCCAAAAGCAAGTAGTCCATAAGAAAATGGAAATGTTGAAAAAACTGAATTAACCTTTACAGGTATTATGACATGCTGTCTTATTTTGTCATCATCATAATCATCAGTATCATTGATTCAATATAACAATAAAAAATACTTTGTAAACTTAAAATCTCACATATCTGTGAACTATTTAGATCTGGGCATTATTACTGTGGTGTTAGGTGCTTTAGTGTTAGGTAGCCACGGTTAGTAGAGATGATGAGAGAAATGGACAAGTAAAAGGAAAGTAATGCTTAAAAGAATTCATATGGCTACCCAGAAACTTTAGGGTTAGAGAACAATACCATAAAAAGGGCAGGGGGGGAACGAGGAAAAAATAAATGTTTATTTTATTGGCAGGTGGATGTGATTGACCATGTTTTCTCACTTGTCTGCTCTCATCTTCAGATGGGTAGTTCTATTACTACTCGTTTCTTGGAGGTATTACAGGACTGGCTTAGACTCTAGCAAGCTGATTAGAGTATAATTGCAGCTTTGCTATATTGAGGCAGTAAGCCCAGTGGTTAAGAGAGCATAGGTTTGACATCAGTGTTGAGGTAGAGTCCTGAGCTGTTACTTGAACTGGAACAAAGAGCTTAATTTCTGTGAGCCTCAGTTTCCTCCTTTCTAAATGAGGTCAGTAATACTTATCTTTCAAGACTGTGGATTGAGGGAGATCTATGTGAAGTGCTGTGCCTGAAACAGTGATTAAATAAACAGTAGCTGATGTGAATGGAAATGAGGATGTAGATGATAATGATTTCAGCTTGAAATTAAATGGCTGTAAAGGACAAATGCATACAAAAGACACTCTAAAAAAGTGACTTACACCACTGAATATAGTATGAAAACTTATTACATTCCTGCTTGACAAGTTTTTAGGTATGTCCCTGTCTAGCATGGAAATCAAAGTTTATATCAGAAAGGAATAGCAGATTTGACTAAGGATTCTGAGTTACTAATGAAAACCAGTGCTACGACATAACTGTCGAGTGAACAGTTTTAAATTTAAATATTACATTTTCTTTTATCAAGTACGATTGCTGAATATAAAGTACCCATAGTAATGGAAGATAATGTCTAATGAATACAACTTTAAAAAAAATCAAATATAAAATGATCAGAACTCCTTCGATTTTTAATGATACCTCATGAGAGAGTTCTCCATCAAATTTGTATACCTAACAAAAATATATTTCTGCCTTTCCCCACATGAGTAGTGAGGAACTTAGCCTTGGAATGGACAGATAGAAGTTCCAATAAAAAGTAAAAAAGTTACATTCCATCAGAGTATACTTGTCCCCAGTTCCAAACAAATACTCCAGAACTTGTGAAAATAAAATGGACTAAAGCAGGCCAGCCTACTGGGAACTAAACTGTAAATAAGTCCAGTCTTACAAATGGTTGCATTGACTTTACCCATTCATTTCTATCCAGAGGTCAGTTTGGAGAAGGACCATGTTACTGAGATGAGAGAGTTGATTTCATGAAGTCCCATTGCTTGAGACCTCAAATCCAAATGACTTCCAAGTTAGGATACACAGCATATTTATAGTCCTGACTATCCCAATATTGGGCTCATCTGCATGTATTCTCCATAATTGATAATGACAAGCAGAGTCCAATCTACAGTTTGAGATCTTAAAGGCAGGATCACATGAAGATGAGGGGACAAGAGTGTGTAACTGATATATTTGGTTTGTGTTATTAAACTTCTTGAAACTCGACTGCTACATACTGATTTTCCTCCTTAAATATGTAAACCAGAGCTCCACGGAGACCTCAGATCTTGCAGTTGTTTGTCACAGGTAATCTTGTGTTTTCAAAGAAAAACCTTTATTTTCCTTTCTAGAACTGGTATTGGTGATTTCATCGTCATAAAATCTTGTAATTATGCCTACTGATTTGCTTGTAATCACCCAGGTTGACTTACCCAAAGACACACAAAACAGGCAGGCAGGTAGACAGACACTCGCCTGCCCTTTCGGCGCTAGCAATGTGATTTCCTCTGTACCCCGCCCTCCTCCCCCTCCCAACACGCACATACTCACCCGTCTTCCTTATTATACTAATGAACATTTCCTCGGTGCTCACCCAGCTCTCGCTAGGGTGCTCAGTGGTGTCATTTACAACATACAGAAAAATGAAAACGATATCCTCAGGGGGGCGTAATGTAGGTCTGAAAGGGAAAATACATTCCCTGGCCGGGAATTGCTTAAACATTCAGAGCTGGTGAAGTAGTTGTGTAGAGGTTGGGGAATTTCCCCAGCCTTCCCCACTTAGCCAAGGGAGGCTAAGTGAGCCCCACTGAGACGCGCAGGCTCCGGGACTTACCTCTTCGGCCACTGGGAGGCCCTCTGCGTTCCCCTTTCTCCGGGGCCTGGCTGCAATTACTCACTCGTGCAGTGGCACCAGCCTTCCACCAGGGAGCCGCGGATCAGCTCTCCCGCCCGCCCCCTCCCCCCGCCCCCATCTGCAGCTTGCTGGCTCTCTCTTTCTCCCTCTCTGTCTCACTCTCTCTCTTTCTCTCCGTCTCCTGTCGGAGCACAATGAAAGCCTGTGTATCGCCGTGACTCCGGGCGGCGGAGCCAGTGTCAGCAAAGCGGCTAACAACAGACGGGAAACAGAAAGGAAAATACAAGCTACTTTTTTTTTTTTTTTCCATCTATAAAGCGGAGCAATACAAGAGATAGAACCACATTGCTTATTGCGAGTCCAGACCCTCAGATCCACTGGCCGGGGATGGAATGTACAAAAGTGGACAGAAAAGTGGCTGGACATGACTCGGTGCAATTGGCTGGAAGTTTGTAAGTTTGACCATCGTTCGTAAATTACTCTCAGAAGAGTTTGTCTCTCTTGATACTGTGTTAGAATAGAGCCGGGGGTGAGGAAGCCTAAGCGGGAAGGAAAAAAATGTGTTGAAGGATCTCTCTCAGTGGCTAGCGACTTGATCAGACTGCTTTCATTTAAGGCTAGGAAACCTTAGAGGGAATGAGGATTTTACCGGTGATTGGATTAGCTGAAGAAAAGAGCATGGTCCAAAAGTCCAATTACTGACATTGTTAACAATTGAAAAGGCATCTCCCTCTTTTGGGAGAAGACAACATCCTACAGTACCCCAAAGAGGAGAAAACACCGGAGCCAAAGGAAAGGGAGGAAAAATTAAAAGCCAAAAGACAGCCTCTCTTGATTTTTGTACATTCTGAACATTGACTTCGAAAATTTTCTGAAACAGCACTTTTTTTTCCTAACCCGAGGAAAAGTAAAGGCTGCAGGTTACATAGACGTGGTAGAGCTGTGTTTCTCTGCAGAAACATCCCCATAAAATTTTTTCTGAAACAACTAGGTGAGGGGGAGTCCAGCTCTCTATTAATACCCCTCTCAATTCCCTTTGCTGTCTGTTTCTGTCTCTGGCTTGACAAAATCCCTGAATTCTTGCTCTAACCCCCAGATCGTGTGTTTACAAAGTACCTAGTGGCTCTCGTCAGCGTGGTGGGGGGAGAAAAAAAGCCCCACCAACTCTGTCCAACTTCTCAAGAGCTGTCAAATGCAATTAGAGTAAGTTGATAAGGGTTTGTTTCCAACTAATCCTCTGCGATTGGTTTCTGTTCTGTCTCCTCACCCTCTTTTTACTAACTCCCCTCCCCCACACCTTCTCCACTGCTCCCCCCAACCTCTGAAGACCTCTATTCATGTGGCCCTGAACACTGAGCTCACATTGTCAAGAACAGATTTGGCTGCAATAGCCAGCAGTAGCCTCCTTCCACCTCACCACCCCAGAGGCAGCATTGTGTCCAGTAAGATGGGGGACACAGCGCCCCCACAGGCCCCCACAGGAGGGCTAGGGGGGGCCCCTGGGGCGGGGCTCCTTGGAGGGGGCTCAGTCACCCCGAGAGTGCACAGTGCTATCGTGGAGCGCCTCCGGGCTCGGATCGCCGTCTGCCGCCAGCACCACCTGAGCTGTGAAGGACGCTATGAACGTGGTAGGGCTGAGAGCTCAGACCGGGAGCGAGAGAGCACCTTGCAGCTCCTGAGCCTGGTACAGCACGGCCAGGGGGCGAGGAAGGCTGGCAAGCACACCAAGGCCACCGCCACTGCGGCCACCGCCACTGCCCCTCCACCGCCCCCCGCTGCCCCTCCCGCAGCCTCTCAAGCCGCAGCGACAGCCGCCCCCCCGCCCCCACCAGACTATCACCATCACCACCAGCAGCACCTGCTGAGCAGTAGCAGTAATGGTGGCGGTGGTGGGATCGGCGGGGAGCCGCAGGCACAAGCTTCGACCCCTGGGGACCAGAGGAACTCAGCCCTGATCGCGGTAAGGCACCTGGTTTTCTCATGATTCTGGCTGTGGTCCGGTGGCCGCTTGGGAGGGGAGAGCTCGCCTTGGCCCGAGGTGGAGTGGACAGCAATGAAAAGGGCCAAGGTGTTACCTGACTGCCTCCAAGGCCACTGGGTAGGCAGTTGGTGCGGTTTTACACTCTTACTCATCGAGTTCTGCGGGTGCTCATTCATGGGCTTTCCTACACTCGTAGGGTGTCGCTTAGGCAGTAGAAAGCCCGAGTTTTCCAGAGGCCCTCTGGAGTCAAGAGGTGGGTAGGCTGGCAAGATCTGAGTGAGCCACTGAGGAAGGCCCTGTCCTCACAGATCCTCCTGTTTTGGCTAGCCAGCTCTGATTAGGCCCAACAAGCCGTTCTTCAGCCTGAAGGCATCTGTCAGTCCCGCTGACCTTCATCGAAGCCTTTTCCTTCTTTTCCCTTTTCCCAAGTGGCCCCTTCTTGGGTTAAGAGACCATAAGTGGCGGTCTCTAACACAGAGAAGTTCCATGAGTGGACCCTCAGTCAAAAGCGAACTGTGGGGGAAACATCCCCAAGACCAGTGAGGGAATGTTTTTGAGAGGCTTGCTCCCTGATTTCCCACGGACGCCCCCACTGCGCCCTCCCACCTCGCTTCTTTTCCCAGGCCCCACAGTCAGGTAGCGCCAGCTGGCAGCGTTCATGACCGTGGGCAGGCACGAAGGGGCTGTCTCCGCTCTGTCATCCTAGGAAGTACCTTGTCTTCAGCCACTCCTGCTGACAGGACATCAAACCTGAAAGTTCTGATGAAGTTTCTGGCTGGGAGTTCTTCCTCAGAGGCACAGACACACCCCATCCCAGAGGGAGTATCCCTTGAATCATTGGTTCTCCGTGCCAGTCCAGGTCAGGTGACTGCCTGCCCTGCGCGGCTTCCCCTGGAGCTGCCGGGCCAGTGGCCTCTGGGTAGAAGGTGGAGCCCTGCCCCGCAGCCCGGCAGGCTTCCTCCATTTCTGAGGTCTGTGGGGCCCCTGATGTTCTGTGTCCGCTCGCAGCGCAGCTCCAGTTTGCCCAAGCCAGCCCTAATGAAAGTCAGCAGCGGGAAATGGCCATGCGAGTCTGAAAGTACTGAAAAAGCCCAAAGAACAGGAGGGCAGTGCGTCGAGCTCCTTTCCCAAAGAACTTGAAAAGGAGCTCTAGAGAGAGGACACCCCCTCCTCCCTGGCCCGGCCTATGGGATGCTTCTTTGTGGCTCCTCCTGATCCCTAGCCCGGGTGTGGGGTGATGAAGTTTCCAGAAATTCTAGGAGCTCGGGTAGTGGTCTTCTGTCCCACCACACACACATTTTGCTTGGGTTGCCTAGAACTGCAACTTCCTGGCACGAGTTCCAGATGAAAATTAACTGCTAACAGTTAAACTGCCCAGTGTTTGCTGTCTCATCCTTGAACACAGTTAACCTGTGAGGTCCTGTTAGAGCTTCAAGGCCTAATTTCCCTTCCCCAGCACCTGTTCCATCCCCACGTCTCCCTGGAATTCCCTAGGAGAGCAGTGGGAGTTTGTTTTGTGAAAGGGAGCTGCTGAGGTGAATGGGGGTGGGGGTCGGGGGAAGTCACTCAAATGAAGCGAAGAAATGAGGTTTGTATGTATGTGTGTGTCCCTGGCATCTGCAGCCAAAAGTATCTAAATGCCTTGATTGTCCCCAGTAAATTTATAATCTGTCTGCAAGTCTCCCAATAATACTGCTTTGTGTGCTTCGCAGTCTCCTGGTAAGTGTTTCTGGGGATGATACAGGGGACGAGGCGCCCAGCCTTCTTCAGTGCAGAAGACCGATCTCTGTCCTGGGTGCCTGGGAGACTGGAGGTGGCACTCCTGTCCCAGCCTCTGCAAGGAAGGTGGCATGTCTGCTTACGGCCGTGTTCTTTTGATTTTTGCTTTTCTCCAACATGGATGTAAAATGAGGCTGCCTCTTTTGGGGGGCTGAGCTTTGGGATGCAAAATGAAACCAACCAACCTCAGTGGTTATTGTAACTACCATAGTGACATCCATGCTTGGAGTAAGGGAGAGGACGGGGTCCTGCCTCCCCCGACTGAAGGCTTACTGCTGCAGAAGCCAGACGTGGCTGTTGTACCGCTCGGGTTCTAAGGGAGAGTCTGAGCTCTCCCTCCCAACCACCAGCCACCTCCTAAAACGTTGCCTTGGAGGAGACCCCTCTCCGAGCACAGCGATGATGAGAGGGGCCATGTGAGGAATAAAAAGAACAGTGTATTTCTGATGGTTGCTTTTTACTGGAAACGTGTGGCATCGCACAGGTTGGTCCCCAACCCCCCTTTTGGTTATTGGAAATTCCCTTCTCCATTTTAGCTTCTAAATTTGGAGCTTTGTTACTCAGCATGGTACTCAGAGATGGGGAGGCAAGTACTGTATTAACCTGATAACATTGTGTTTGAAGGGAGGCCTGGGCACTGGGGAGTGATTCATCAAGCCCATTAGGTCTGCAGGTCCTATTTCACGCGGGCTCCTCTTATTTTCAGAAACACTATTACTTTAAAGGGGTCTTTGTGCAGAATGAGTGGCAAAATTCTTTCTTAATTTTATTGCTGTGTCCGTAACCAGATTTATTTCTGTCTGGGTGTGTTCAGTGTAGCACTTTAATAGTTAATCCGTATGACATAAGTGGCCATAAAGGTCCTTTCAGAGAGAGAGAGAGAATATTGATCATCTAAAATCAAATATGCACTGCATCCTCAGATGAAAGCCCTGTATGCTGCAGAGTTGCTAGGACAATGCCTAGTATGGAGTCAGTAGTATTTGAACGTGGATGGCAGGGGAACTTCTGGTCTGTGGGATCGCGCTGGCTTGAGGGCTGTTGTACTGCAAGAAATATATAATGCCTGGGTTTTTCCCAATAGCCTAAGTTTCAAGAACAGTGCAAGAATAACCTCCAAGCCAGTTCTGATGCTCTCCACATTGCGAGCCTAATTCTGCTGCCCTTACTCAGCCAATTTCTTCGTTTAGCTCAAGTACAAGTTCAGGGGAAGCCCCATTGCTGCAGAGACTACAGGAACAGGGCCTTTCAGAGGGCCTGGATTATAGGGCTTTGAGCAGATATGCATTTCTAACCACTTGGAGCAGGCTTTAGGCACTAAATCATTTTCTGGTGAAGTGTGTTTGAATCTTTGAATGAACTGTGAAACTGAATAATTGCTGGTCCATGGAACAGTAAGGTTTAGAGCTTCTGCAGTTCATTATTAATCTTTCCCTTTTGCCTGAGACAAGCTCTTTTTTCTGTTGCATAGACTGTGTTGCTAGGATGGATAGATCAGTGGTTCCAAGTCATCTTTGGCTTTAGAGATTATCTTTTCTCTAACGTAGTGTGGAGGAAAGAAAGCAGATCAGACAAGGAGTCTGCCTCCTCGATTCTGTGCCTGCTTTGATCACTAACCAGCTGGGTGACCTAGGACAAGTTACTTAGCAGTCATCTGTAAAACAGAGAGAACGGTATTGCTGTCCTAGCTTGTTGCGAGAAGCAAATGAATGTGTGTTTCTGACCAGGCGTTGGGAAAAGTAAAGCACTGCAGAAACGCAAGGCATTATTACTAGTATTGCTAATAATAAGCTACTAAGCAACGAAGCATAATACCAGCTTTTCCAGGGATTTAAAGTATACTTGAGCTTTCAGTTGTCTGTTTTAAATGGTGAAATAGCTTTTATTGTAAATAGAGGGATTGGTATTTCAAATTTAGCTCTGCCAAGATAAGGCTGAGTATCAGTGTGCTTAAGTGTTCCTGAAGGTCCCAGGGACTCTTAGTTAAAATGTGCAATGTTGTGAAAGTGTTTAGGGTCTTTGCGCGCATGTCCTTTACAGGCCCCTGCCCGGACCAGTGTCCACCAGGGCGGCTAAGGAATATTAGAAAAGTCGTTTGCACAAATGGCATGGGAAAGTTAAATACTTTGTCAACAATAGTCTAAAATGTTAATTGTTAGCTTAAGAAAGTCAAACAAGTTAAATCATTGCCAGAGTTCCCTGGTTATTTTTAACTGATGATAATCAAGTTTCCAATTGACAGTTCACTATCTGAGAGCTGTAAGTGGGGGTTTGAGAACAGAAACAGTTCATTGGGCAGATCTGGGTGTCTCTAGCTGTCTACATGATAAATATCCTCCCCAGGACAGTGATAGGAGTGTTTACATTATTTATATATGCAGCCATCATTTCCTTAAGAACTGACCTATTTTTGTTCTGTTTTCCAGAACAAAGTAATAAAGGGAGAGTTCTTATCTCTCCAGGACCTTCCTACTACTTCTTTCAAGTAAATATAATTATAAGATCTCACAAAGGCAGAAGAGTTCAAGTGGAGAGAGAAGTTGGCACAATCCTTTATCAAAAATGGACAGAGAGCTTGCTTTGACAGCGAGGGCTGTTATGTCAAGCAAGATGCCTTGCTTGTTTGGGTCAGTGTTTGTTTACAGAAGGCATCTGTGTTCTTTGAAATGATGTCCTTATTAGGTGATGTTTTTCAAACCTTAGAGTTCTGAACCTTGAACTTTAATATTGTGTGGCTTCCCTACGCCTGTAGACCTTTTGTAAGTTACCAAGACAAACATGGGTTTTCAAATGTTCTAAGACATAATAATTAAATATGACTAAAAGAGCAGCTGTGATTAGCTGTTCTTGTTTTTAATTGTTGTTGTGTGTGTTTGTTTTTCACGCTGCTATTTAATCTCAGAAAGCCTGGGTGGAAATTTTAAAAAATCATCCGTTCTGCCATGCATGGCAATGAAGCTATCCTGAGTGGATTCTACTACTTCCTTGTTCTTTAATCCAGGCCCTTATATGTGTTCATAGGCTGGATCATGTTTAATGAAAACAATTCCAAATTCTTTCTTCTGCATTTTCATGCTAATTTCCCTCACACTCTAACACGCTCTGTGGGAGAATAGGGAGAAATACTGCTAAGGACAAAGTCCCTGCTCGCTTACCAGTCTGCTGGGCAGATCAAGACCACATCGATAAAGGAACAGTGCAAGTACTAACTAGGTGGAATGGACCAAAACTGATGTAGAAAATCAGAAGAAAAAAGGAATAAATATTTATTGAGCCCTAGAATGTCCCAGGTACTTTTTTATATAATACCTTAAAAAAAAAAAACAAAAACAGAACACCCTGGTGAGTAAGCAACATTTGCCCCACTTCATGAATAAGGAAACCGAGGCTTGGAGAAATAGTAAATGAAAGAGTTTAGTGCACAGATTTTATATTTTGACCTGTATTCGTATCCCACTTCACACCTACTAGCTTTATGAGCTTGGAGAAATAACTTCATTCTTCTTGGGCATCGGTATCTTCATCTGAAAAACAAAGCTAGTGCTCTTTAACAGAACATTCGGCACAGTGCCAGACACACAATAGGTGCTCAAAATGTGAGTGCTGTTAGGAGTTGGTAGGAGAGAGCCCCCGGGTCAGCTCTGTGCGGGACAGCAGCAGGGCCGGGGAGGAGGGAGCCTGCGTAAACGTGGGATGGGGTAGCAGACGGCAGACGGGTATCAGCGTCAGGTGTGGGACAGAGTGGAGCCCGACTGACGGGGTTGGGGTGAGTAGTGAGGGGGACAGGTGAGGTTGATCCACTCCTGGAGGGGCTGAAGCTCTGGCAAGCGTACGTCAGTAGCCCTGGAAAATAGTAGAGCAAGGAAGGCTCGGAGGAGTCAGCATCTATAAAGCAATAATAATCCTTCATACACTTGAAGACAAGTAATACACTTCCCCTCCAGCAGCCTCTTCTCAGAGCGCATTGCCTAAGTGTTCTGTATTACCTATCTTCAAGTCCCTTGAGCTGCTTAATGCCTTGCTATTTACACACTTCCCTTATTCCCAGTGAGTTATATACAGCATGACATGGCCTTTGGCATGGAAAGGAGATGGTTTTAAAGGCACGCTCGCTAGACACAGAAAAGAAACTAAAAGAAGCAGAACCAATGACACATACCTCTCTTCCCAGGCTTGCTAGGCCTTCCAGTGCAAATAAGAATTGCCCTGTGGGCAAAAGTGTCTTCTCTTGATGTGTAAACTTAGCTTCCCAACAAATGAGTTTGCCTGTTTATAAACTTGACAAAAGTCTTTTCATTAAAAAAAAAAAATTGTGAGCAGAAACCTTATGAGGAGCTGTGATTCCAGATGGCCTTTGAGATTTGCTTGCTTGCTTGCTTGCTTTTTAATGCAGATGTGTTCCATATCATGTACTTGTCCTAAGCTTCAGTGGGATACATTTCCCCCTATTTGGTCCATGTTCACAGGGCACAGGGAAGGTACCCTATGGAAAAGATGGCAGAGGAGAAAAGCCAACACTTTCTGATTGAAGGTATGATGTTGGGATGCTGACCATAGTGAATGGGCTTGCTATGGCTGCCAGCTTCCACCCTTTTCTACATGTATCTAAGGGGCAGATGTGAAAGACTCAAAGCTGTTCCATTTCCTTATAGAGAGGATGAAAAGAGATGTTCACATATTCTCCACAAGTTTTAAAGAAGGCTAGAGAGTTGGGCCCTCCCAAATTGCTGAAGGAAAGGCTATGAAAATGGGCAAATAACAGTATTTACATGCACTGTGCTCTCCACGCTTAGATTCTTTGCATGTGGATCTGTTTGCAGGCTCGGTCCCCCAGAGAGAGATTCTGAACTGTCTTTGTGCTAAATTAAACATTAGTTTTCTCCTCGGGAACTTGATCTTCCATAGACGAGGCAACAATATCTTTCTGAGAGAGCTCCCAGCTAAGCATTTCCCTCAGGAAGAGACCAGCTCAGGAGCCTTCTCACCTCCTGTCTGCTTAGCTGGTGTGAGTGTGTGTTGCATAGGAGTTGTTAAGGCTAACCAGGTCTAGAAGCCCGTAGAGCAAGGACTGGTACTCTAATCCTTGGTATAATGCTGAGGGACCCACGCTGGCTTAGCATAGAATAAATGGAAATGGTCAGAGCGGCACCCAGATCATGGAAGATTTTAACCAACCATGGGAAGGAGTAATTCCTTTGCTCACTGCCTCCCAAATTCTGTACCCACAGCAATGAAAGGGAGTATGTTAAATACAAGCCGTCTCATTTCTAGTTATCTCTCATCTCTCAACCCCAACAGGGCTGGTTCATACTGATCTGAAAATAGGACACTATTCTATCAATTTATGGAGTAGCATAAGCCCTTAGAAAACAGACCAAATTCTTTACTCACAGATGAAAAAATTAAAGCCCATTTAAAAGAGTAGTAGAGGCTGGACTAGAACCCAAGTTTTCTATTCTGGGTTATTAAGAGTTGTCCTTTTATTAAGGACTTTTTAAAAAAGATTTATTTATTTATTTAAAAGATTTTTATATACTTATTTGTCAGAGAGAGGGAGCACAAGCAGGGGGAGGGGCAGAGGGAGAAGCAGGCTCCCCACTGAGCAGGGAGCCTGATGGGGGTCTCGATCCCAGGACCCTGGGATCATGACCTGAGCCGAAGGCAGACACTTAACTGACTGAGCCCAGGCGTCCCAAGAAGCCCTCCTTGACTTAATATTTGTTAAGAGGGAAAGTCTTACGTTAAGTGCTCTTACCACAGATAATAGTAGAAATTATTATTGTTACTAGGGCAGGAGAAAACTTTGGGAAGTGATAGGTGTGGTTATGGCCTTGGTGATGGTGGTAGTTTCATGGATGTACACTTATCCCCAGCGTTACAGAGTTGTATGTATTAAATACGAACAGGTTTTTATATGTCAATCATAGCTCAATAAAGTGGTTAAGAAAAAGAAGCTCTTCGGAGCACTGAGACCACCAGATAAAGGAGGTGGTGTAGCCAGCTGGAGGATGAGTGTCCACATGCAGAGGACCAGGGTACCCCTGTCACTGACCAGCTCCAGCTGCCAACACGAGAGTGAGGCCAGCTCGTGCCAGCCCATCCTCCAACTCCGTGAGCCACACGAGTGAGTGAGCCCCCGTGAAGTCAGCAGAGGAACCGTCTTGCCAACCTAGAGAATCATGGGAAACATCACATCATGATTTGCAGCCAATAAGTTTTTGGGGTGGTCTGGGGTGGTTTGTAACTTAGCAAAGGTTAAGCGAATCCAAGCTGGGAAACCTTAGCAGGGGTGATGGCTTCCCCAGAGCTGGTTACTTAACATCTCTGAGACTCATTTTCTGCTTTTTATGGTGGTAGAAACTGTGCCAAAGCTTGCGAGGATTAAATGAGATAATACGCGGGAGCAGCTAGTGTGTGGTCTGGCCCGTGGGGGAGCTTCACAAACATTCCTTTCCTTGCTTGCTCCTTTGTCCCTTCTCCCTGGGCTCTGATTTGAGCCCCCCTTCCTTTGTCATCTCCCTTTGTCATCTTTATCACTCTCACTTCATGTGCATCAACATCCTTAGAGGCTCTCCCAGCTTGCCGGTCCTCCGAACAGCAATTTATTTTTTCCCTCCTGGATGATGGCCTGGTGCTGTCATTCCTCCTAACTACCAAATTTCCAGCATTCTTATTACGCTCCAGGGAACACATCTGCCTTTGGTAGTCTCCCCTTAAAATAGAAAAGGGTTAACCTCATAAAGATGTCACTCCCCCTTGTACTGCTCTGCTGCCCTTGGGAGAGTCAAGCGGCATAGTAAATAGAGATGGGCAATGTAATTGCATTCGATCTTCGAGGTCACAGAGGACTTTGCTAGCTCCAACAGCGTGCAGGGGAAAAGGTAAGCATGTTCCATCTTGAAGAGCCGTGTTTCTGAACTCACCTTTTTTTTTTTTTTGTAGCACATTATTCCCAGTCCCTCATTCTTCCCACCTTACACGTGCCAGCAAGTGAATAAACAAAGAGGACATGGTAGAGTGACACTGTATTCTACTTACTATACTTACCAGTGATAGGGTCAGAGAGTCCTGGCCTAGGAATTAGATGTTGAAGGTCCTAGTGATACTAACTAGTCGGGCAACTTAGCCAGTCCTTTTACCTCCTTGGTACTCACTTTCCTTCTTGGAAAAACAATACGGGACACCTGGTGAGTGGCTTGGATCACCTCAGAGGCCCCTTTTGGGTGGATACACTTTGAATAAGTTCCCTGGTATTTCACTTTTGCTTTTCACATTTCGGTGTCTCCTTTAAATGTATCTGTTAGGAAGAACTGAAAGAAGGAAAGGTGACAAGGGGGAGGGTGTTTTGGCTTTTTTTAAAGGAAATACTAGTGAGGAGGGTCTGAAGTAATCTTGGGAGCAAGGTCCAGCTGTGGCAAAGGCCGAGTGCACAGCCCTATTAATTGCTTAACACTCTTCCTGGGAGTCATGAACAAATCACTCCGTCGCTGACCCTATTTGTTGGAGCTTAGGGTTCCAGTATGAAAAACAGTTGTAGGCCTGGAGTTTGATTCATTAAATTTCTTTTTAGAGGAAGTACTGTTTTTGTTTGCCTACATTATGCCAGCTACACTTGGAACATTTCTGTGGGTGAAGAAGATTCCCGAATGAGTACCCTTGTGAAATAATTCATGAAATATAAAATGTGAAATGCAAAGGAAAAGACTCTTACGGAGCCTGCCTTCCTTAGGTATTGACTAGTCTGTCTGTCTCTCTCGTATACACACAACTGAAAAGTGCAGATTAATGGGTGGGATTTTATATGTGTCACCACTTCATTTTAAAAATATGTTTCTGCTTTCAAGAGGAACACAAAAG